GTGTATTTTCGCGCGGCGTTTGGGGTTATGGCGCTCTTTTCTTGTTCCTCTTGCTGCGCCTTTCTTGTTTTAGTTTCCCCTTCCCTCCCGTTTATATATATATGAGTCTCCTTGTATATATATATTGTCTGGGTGGTATGGTACGGTATGGTAGATAGAGCAGACAGAGATTGATGATTTGAAATGAGATGAAATGAGATAAGATGGCCTGGGTATACAAGAGAGTATAGATGAATGAATGAAGTAAATTTTTGATGAATGGCTGAATAAATGAATCGGTTGGGTTATTGTCGTATATCGAATGAGGTAAGGGTGTTCCCCGGATTTGGATTTGAGAGTGGAGTTGAAAGTGGAGTACGTGGGCGAGATGAGATGAGGATTCCTCAGAGACTCGTCTTAGTCAAGTGGTATATATATGTATGTATGTATGCAATCAATCAATCAATCAACAGTGGCGATCGATTCGTCAAGACTCGAGAGAAAGAACGCGTAGCGTGAGTCGGGCGTGGGTGTTGAGTAATTAATCTCGACTCGACTCGACTTTTCTTTCAGTACACAATTCCGGTTATCCGGTTCTATCCCGAGGCTTGTATTCCCGTTTGTGATTACTCGTACTTTTTGCTTTCGTCTGTGAAATCCGGGGCTGGATGGGGGGTGGTTATGTATGTAGGTGGGGGTGTGTGGGTGGGTGTGGGTGCGGGATTGATACTGTATATGTGGAGTCGGAAAGTGGGTCACGGATGGGGATTTCGCTTTAGGATGTTCGTACTATAGTGATGGCTCGAAAAGAATACCGGGGGGAGGGTATAGGATGGGGGTTTGTTTGGTTATGCGGTTGTTTATTTATGGGTACTTGGAAGTATGGAAGTATGGAAGAGGGAGGAAGCTGCAAAAACAAGAGAAACTTTTAGTAGGGGAGGGGTTATTGTTATACTTACCATCACATCAGCCTTACTCCGTACTGTAAAATTAGGTACCTTACCTACCTACAATAAATACTATACCGGTCTATGGAAGAAAGAAAGATGGGATGTACGTACCGGGTATGCGAGTCGAGGTTCTGTCTGATGCGATGCTGGGAGCGGGATATGTAGGACACGGGGTATACTCGGTTAGTTGGGAGGGCAACTATACCGAGTTTGGGGCGGGTGAGGCGCCATGATCTACAGTTGATAGGAGTAGCGAGGGGCGTGTGGGGACGGGAGATAGGGGGGTGAAATCGGGTTGCGATTCATGTCATGTGTACGAATTCCTGCTTTGACATGCAGGATTTGGATATTCTCCCTGGATATTTCTAGTGAAGGGTTTTTAGGCAAGGGGACACATAAATGTTCTTTATACCTATTCCGTCGTGGCTCATCCATCCCTACGCAGTTCGTCTAGCCATACGAAGAAGCCCCTGCGGCTGCATCGACAATTCCTGCACCGGGAATCGCATGTGTCATCTCGTGGAGCATCGTAGTATCGAACGTTTTAGCCAGATCCATTGCAGTGTCGAATTCGTCGGCCTCAGGTGGGTTGGTGCTATCAGGTGGCTTATTTAGCAAGGACTTCATCTTTGACATACTCCTAGCAAGACTATTCTTGCTCCCCTGGTCTTTCAAGCTCTTGACTTTGAGGCTTTGTTGCACTTACAACCACCCGGTGCACAATTGAAGCTGGGAAGCACGGTTGACGCCAACAGAATAATGATTATCTGTGTAAGCCTGGTAGGTTAATCTTTTGAACTGTACGACTGTTTTTGTTGTATTTCAAGACTGAAGTGAATACCCCCTTCGCAGTTCCCCAGTTCTTGTTCGTAGGATCAATATTGCCAGCTGTCAGCGTTTCAGCTAACAAGTAGGAGATGAGATCTTTTTGCACCTGCCATTTGGCTTCGTTTCCTGAAGGTGAAGGTGAAGGTGTAATGCTAAATGTATCAAACCCTGCTTGAGCGAGATCAAACGCATCGTTCATACCGTCAACGAACCAGCTTTTTATATGTGGAAGCACAAGAATGGTCCAAAAACCATGCATGACTGCTGGTGAAAGAGGTGGAAAGAACGGCGAGGGTGCTAATAACCTGCATAATTCTGAATCGAAAGAAAGAAAGAGGGGAAATTTTAGATCCACGTGGGAGATCGAGATACTGTGAAATTCCCAAAAAGCAGACGACGCGGAGTGATGGAGACAGTATTGGACAAATGGAAAAGGATAAAAGGACATATAGCTGTATATGCCACCTCATAATTTTTAATAGTATGACGAAGTAAACTTGATGGAAGCTCAACTATCAAGTAATTGATTGATCCTCTTGATCATTTGGCGCCCACTGACTTCTCTTCTTGGACATTGTGATATTATGCCAAGCTCGCTTGAACAAATACTTCGCCGGTGGAAAAGTTGGGTGATTCGTAAAAGTTGATTAATAACGCTCCTTTTGATAACATCAGTGTGCGGCTTAACCATACGCAGCGTATGAAACAAATTTGGGGCAATACTCCGCAAATACATAGCAATTTAATCCATCAGGTCCACGTCCAGGTCTAGATCTCTTAAGAATCAAGCATTATGCTAAGTTTCAGTTCAGGTGTTTAGGGATGAGATATAACGCGGGGTTGCCGTTGCCGCAAGCGCGAAAGATACAGGAGTCTGCCTAATCTACATATAAAACACATCTACCTACCTACTTTAAAACTTATATAATCTGTTGGTATCACGATCACTTCCAGCCAGCATCATTGCTTCCTTGAACGCCTAGATCCCATAAGCATTAAGGAACTGTCTCGGATCCTCGCCCTGCCTTATAATAAGTCGCATATGATTCGGATCGCGTAAGGGAAGGCCATCGGGGTAACTGTAGTTGATAATTCGTCAGCTCTGGATTTCAAGAATACTATTTCGTCAGGACAGTAGGAAAGGATGTGCATACTAATGCGACATCTACTGCCAATATTCATCGACGAAATCACTCATGCTCTCGCCAGGACCAAGCCACATTCTCATATGATTTGGGTCTCGGAGAGGAAGACCATCTGGACGACTGCAAACAGTTAGATACCACTCGTAAAGCCAGGACGAGTAAAGTATCAGAGGAGCCCGTAGCGCCCGGCTGCTGAATAACAGTGCAAAGGGATTTCGCCTAAGTGAACGAGTGCAAGGGAAAGTTTGCACTCACTCCGTCTCAACCTTCTCCCTTCCCTTTGTCTTCTTCCCCCCCTGCCAAATCCTTTTCTTCTCGAAGAATTCATACGCCCCAGGATAAATCGGACTCTCCGCACCACCCATGATCTTCTTCGCTTTCATAAACCGCGAAAGACTCGCAGTATTGCCTCCCCCAATATCCCTCAGAAACTGGGCCTGCGAATATGGCTTTGGGGTTCCGTCTTTCTTAAATTGGCCTGGAATGCCGTTCTCAGGCTTGTTGTTGTCTTTTCCGAGCAGGGCGTTGATCTTTTGTCGGATAGTGCTGCAGGTGTCGTAGATGGGGATTTGGCCGGAGGTGGGGTGAGTCGGGAGGGTGATGTCGAGGAAGGAGGAGGGTTTGGTGGATGATGCATCATTCGGGGACTCGGGGACTGGCTTGGTCGAGGACTTGCTAGTCTTGATTTTCTTGGTCGTAGGTTCATCCTTACTCTTTGTAGATGCTCTCTTCTTGGCTGGCTTCGCTTGGGCTTCAGGCTCACTGTTCTTGATCGAGGGTTTATCGTCGCCCTTTACAGAAGCTCTCTTCTTAGTTGAATTTGCCTCAGCTTTAGGCTCTACCTTCTTGGGCGTAGCTATCGTCTGGAGGAAGTCTTTGGCTTTCGAGGTGGAATTGAGAGCTTTGACCGGCTTATCGGCGAGTGCTTTTGATGCAGATTTGGAATTGGTGGCTTTAGGTCTATCCCCAGGTTTGATGGCGGGATAGGGCTCGGCGCGAGTTGGGCCTGATTGTCTGCGTTCTGTTTTAGGCATTTTGGATAGTTGTAGGTAGGGAGAATGAAAGTGTAATGCAATGCAAATCTGATTATTTGTTGTTTTTTATGACCATTAGACGCGTATAAATTGTTTATTCTAAAGTAACGCGTCGATGATGACCGATACGGCTAATAGTCGGTCATTAAACGTCAATGTCTTGTATATGTAAGGGATTGACACACGTGATTTGTGCGGTTTCATCCTAAACCCACGCTTTTTGCGACGTAAACCATACCATACCATAATCGTCAGCCTAGGTAATTTCTATCTAGTTGCCTAATATGTTTTTTTGGTGAGATTATGTCAGGATAATACCTTATGGTGACATCTTGACTAAGCGAAGAGGCATATTCTCGAGCGTCTTTGTGGCAGATCTGGCCGGTATCTGCATCCAAGAAACAACATGGATGCAACCACCAAAACTCCCAACTACAGACCTACTTGCTTTTTTTTAAGTCTGAAACTGGGTCCTTCTAACGTGGAAAGGATAGACCTTATAACTAGCTCTTTACCATAGCATAGATCTGCATTACAGCAAGAAAGATGATAGCCAAAGCAATCTTAAAGTGAGTTTAGACCTCTAGGAGCCCTATATTAGCCATATCTAAGCTCTCTAACTGGCGCGGAGTATAAAGTTGTGGAATGAAAAGAGACCCAGTTTTAAACTTCAAAAAAAAAGGGGTACTATAGTAGCGAAGTTTTGTGGCATATACCCAGTTGGCAGAAAGAAGCATGGAATGATCTGGGATTCTGGATTGATTGCTAAACTGTAGAACCTTAAATATGGAGCATAAGGTTCATAAAGGCTGTACATGATGTGAACACCAGCGAAGTGCTTCTTTCATCTCGAGATGAAATGCTTGTTCGTATTCAGTGGTACTCTACCTTGGGATGCCCACATGCCCACATCCGAAATCATCTTTTCTTGCATGGTCCAGATTCTGAGGTGCAGTCTACCAGGTCTATTCCCACTTTTCAAGTCAGATACTTGCCTCAAAATTGAAATTATTAGTCCCTGAAGTAGGTCATCTTTCGAACCCATCTCCGAACCGGCTCAGTTTCTCACTAGATGTCATAGCTGCGGTCTGATTATAAAACCCCCGTGAAGATAGGTCCGAATGCAGATATTCAGAGCTCGTATATTCGAATTTCTATGATAGTAATCAATAGCATTGCAAATTTATTAAGGTTTCTCGGCATGGTGTTCTATTGGTGCCCGCACACCCCGCATCTAGTCTACGAAAAATGGGAGGGAAGCGGGATGATCAGCGTCTCGGCACCCCTGAATATAGCCCTGCCCTGTTAGACTCGGGATTCAGCGTCTGATGCAACACAACGTTGTGAAAAGTTACTACCGATGCATCCCACTGACAATTTGCAAGCACTGTTCAAACAACAGAATCGGGTCTGGTGACAGCGAGACGAGACTATGCCTTATGGCAGGGTGAGAGCGGGGTAGTTGGAGTCCAAAGTTAGTATCCCCATTTATTTAAGAAAACGGGCGTTGCATTGTGGTGTGGCGTTGGAAGCTTATTCGTTCTAGTTGTAATGTTCAAGAAGATGCTGTCTTTACTTCTGACCGCAATCGCAGTCTCAGGTGCTTCGCAAATCGTCACTGCGCAAAACTCGACAACGGACTGGACTCGGTATGTTGATCCCTTCATCGGTACAGAGGGCTCAGTCCCTGGAACTGCGTTCAATGGCGGCAATATATTTCCTGGCGCAGTTGTTCCATTTGGAGCTGTGAAGATAGGACCGGATGTTACAACCTTCAATGGCAGCATTACAGTTAATTCCGGATATACGCCAGATGGAAATGTCACGGCATTTTCCCTTGCGCACGTTTCTGGAACCGGAGGAGGCCCAGTATACGGTGTAGTGTCACAAATGCCCTTGGCATCCTTGAAGAACGTGAACCTGCTCGACAATCTCACATATATGGCCACTCGATCCGGCAATGATTCTGCAAATGTTGGATACTACAGGTCCACATTTGAGAATGGCATTGTTACGGAATTGGCTGCTTCGAGCCACACCGGCTTTCTGCAATATACATTTCCGGGCGAAGAAGACGGACATATACTTGTTGATGTGTCTCACTACTTGCCATCCTACGGCGGAGGTTCGCAGTCTCAATTTTACAGCAACGGGGAGATCACAGTGTCTGCGGATGGGAAACGGTATAAGGGCTATGGGGTATATCGAGGCGCATTCAGCCAAAGTAATAGCCCCCAAATATTTTAGAACGAGTTGCTAACAAATGTGTAGTCCCCGCATATCAAATTTATTACTGCGGCGAGTTTGAAAGCGCTCCAAAATCCAGCAGGGTTTTCACAGGTCGATATACCGATCCATACTGGCCAGATACATTTAACGAGCAACCCATTTTCGGCAACTCGTCCACGGCATCCGGTGGTCCACTCACATACCAATATAGCGATCGAGTTGGAGCTATTTTCGACTTCGGTCGCAATACAACCACTGTGAAGTCCAAAGTCGCTATATCCTGGAAGTCCACAGAATTAGCCTGTCAAAACCTAGCCTCGGAGATTACCCATTGGAATTTGCCAGACGTTGTTACAGATGCGAAGAAATTGTGGAACGACGATGTGTTGGGTAAAATCACGACTACGGACCTATCAAATCAAACAAGGTTAGAGATGTTTTATACTGGCTTGTACCATACACATTTGATGCCCACGGACAAGACTGGCGAGAATCCGCACTGGGAAACTAGCGAACCCACCTATGACGATTACTACACCTTTTGGGATACTTTCCGCTGCTTGAACAGTCTGATGCTGCTCATCACTCCCGATCGTGCAGCGGGAATCATTCGATCTGCGATTGATATCTGGCGTCATGAAAACTTCATGCCAGATGGAAGATCTGGTTTTTATAACGGCCAAGTTCAGGGTGGAAGTAACGCAGATAACGTTCTGGCCGATGCATATGTAAAGGGTTTGCAATATGGCATTGATTGGAATGATGCCTTCGCGGCCATGAAGACCGATGCTGAGTTGACGCCATACAACACTTTTGATCCTGCCGACACAACATCTAGCACTAAAGAAGGCCGAGGTGCATTGCCTGACTGGCTCAATCTCGGATATATTACTCCATCTTACACTCGAAGTCTTAGTCGGACCGTTGAATACTCTTTAAATGATTTCGCAGTAGCACAGGTAGCCAAGAGAATCGAGCCCGAAAGTTATGAGAAGTATTTGAATCGTTCAAGGTCAGTATGAAGCTCCATAGACGAGATCCCGTCTAAACTTTCTGCAGTGGGTGGCAGTACCTTTGGCAGCATGATCTCAAGAGCTTAAATTTTACCGGCTTCCTGGCTCCACTGTACGCAAATGGGACCAGAGAATCTGCTGCCGACTATGACCCCCTAGGCTGCGGAGATTGTGAGGGTGATTCAGTTGCCTACGAGGCTCTTCCATGGGGTTCGTGGTAACCCCATTTCTTAAGCATACTAACAAAATTAACATCTTACAGAGTACTCGTGGACCGTACCATTTGATATGGAGACCTTGATTAACTTCATGGGTGGCAACAATGCGACCGAATCTCGGCTTGACAGCATGTTTATCCCTGGCCTCAGGACAAATGGAGTCGGTGTTGGTGGACAGAATGGAGCTGGTACAACGCTTTTCAACCCAGGAAACGAACCAAGTTTTTCCACACCTCTGCTTTACAACTACCTGCCTGGACGTCAATGGAAGACTGTTTTGCAAACTCGAAATATAGTGAATACGTACTACAACAGCGGCAAGTCAGGCCTGCCGGGAAACTCTGATTCCGGTGCCCTGGACTCATGGATGCTCTGGCAGATGCTGGGGTTCTACCCAGTCGCAACACAGCCAGTGTATCTCATTGGATCGCCATGGTTTACAGACATCAGCATGGCTATTGGTGACGGTAAACGTCTGTCGATCACTGCGCAGAATCTCAGCGACAGTAGCTATTATGTACAGAGCGTGAAAGTCAATGGCCAGGTTTGGAACAAGAGCTGGTTCACACATGATGATATTAAGGATGGAGGAAGTCTGGAATTCGTTCTTGGAAGTTCCCCAACGGCGTGGGATTCGGGCTTGCTTCCACCAAGTCCGGGACATGTCACTACAAACAAACCTTTCTGAATCAGCAATTGCCTGGGCATGAAACTGGAGAGGGTGGAGGTGTCATATTTAAAATATGACAATATATTTGACACGTGCTTTTGTCTTCTTGCAACGTGTCCCTTCATGGGAACCTTAACTCGACTTGCCATTAGTTTTGCTTTCGCGGAAGCTCATAACTCTATGCCAACAACCTACAGTAATTAGAGAAATTAGTGTCTCTTCTCTTTCTACCGTAAAAACGTCGACTTAAGGCATAGGTTTCATAGCAGAATAATGCCAATTGCGGTACACGTCACGGATTCACGTATAGTATTCCGGGAGTGGCGAACACTTAAACCGTGATAAGCTAATCTAAAAACATCGCCACTATGAGGAATCTTCCAGAAGTTCGAAGAAATATACATAGTAGGATATGAACTGTATGTAAATTATGGTGGTGGGAGGGGTTGGTGGTACTCTCCATCAAATCGTAAGGCAACGCTCAATCCTTCTCTAGCATTAAGCAGTAGTTTGGCTACGGCCTCGTGTCCTCTCGCTGCGGCCCTTGAGAGCGGCGTTCGACTAGAGTGATCCTTTAAATCGACGTCGACCTTACCTGTCTCAAGCAGCAGTCTAACCACGGCCT